GAAGAAATTCAATTGATAGGCTTAAAAAAACAACAATCCAAGAAAAAGGACAGTGGCTGGCCTGGGAGAAAATGTTTAAAAGGCTTAGTGATATGTTCTTCCTGACACATTGTTTAGGCATAGAGTTTGGGATACTGACTTCTAAGGCTTGTACTTAAAAATATGCATCTCTTGTAGCTAAACAACAGCCTGAAGTGGCACAGCCCTCTTGTTTCCAGTACTTAAGGCTTGTGAGGTATCAGTGCCTTACATTTTAATCTTGTATGGGACTTATGCCTGTAAAATCTGGAACAGAAAACTTAATTTTAGATAAGATTTCAGAAAAGAGCATTTTGAAAGAGAAATATCTATTTTCTTGATAGAAAAAGTCTCACTATTGTACTTGCTCATTTTGAATTCAATCACACTTAATTTTTGAGAGAAGAATGTCTTTATTAAGGAATAATCATTAATTGTAGAAAATACCTATTAATCTTTTCTCTATATCTGCAGAATGCTAAAGTCCTTTGTCGAAAGGAAATATCTATAGAGCATGGTATAAGTTAACTATTCTTAACTTCCATGTCACTGAAGGGCTCCACTGAAGAAGGATTGTTAAATTAGCATTTTAGGTGATGTGCTTGTTTGGAACCAAAATTATGTGCTAATGTCCAGAAAATGAAGTTGTACTGAAACTATATGTAAAAGACAGAACAGTGTGGTTCCTAATCTTACTAAGGACTTTTATATCTAAGGATATACTGATAACTGAAGTAGTGTAGACTAACCATATCAGTTCCCTTGTTTTGAATCTTGTTCTGTGATTCTTCCAAAGTACTCCTTAAAATAAATGGGTCACAGCAAAAACATTTCTCTGGTACATCAGGAGACGCAGAACGTGATATCATTTACTCAAATCTTAAGTAACAGCCTAATCATCAGATGTGGAGATGCAGATGCTAAACAACTTGTTGACTAAGGGAAAAGAGGCTGTGCTTTCGTGCCAGTAAGCAGATGTGCTCAATAGACTGGCTCCTAAGTGCTGATGTAGAAACAGCTGTTAATGCTACCATCATCTTTAATATCATTCATTTCCCTCCACTTCCTTTGTTTTCCAGATATACATATGCTTGCTCTATATACTTACTCTGTGCTAGTCAGAGGGAGGAGAAGAGGGAGTGCATTTTAATACATAATAGGCAATCAGACCCTGATTCTGGGAGGTGGTGAGCACATTCAGCTCCTGCTGAAGATAACTAAAGCAGTGCAAAAGGACTCCTACACTGTCAAGTTTGTCATAGCTTTAGCTTAAGTTGTAAATGGAACAAACTTGTTCTTCCACTGGGAAAAAACTGCAAGGTTTTCAAATTCATGTCTTTAGACCATCTTTTTTTCTCTTTCTAAAGTTTCTTTAATTTTTTTTTTCATTCATATTCTCCTCTCTTCATATTCTCCTCTCTTCCCTCCCCTCCCACATTATTTCTCACCTCGCACTGCCTGGTGTGTGTTTCAAAGTTTCAAATAATCTGTGCAACTGAAAGGCAGTTTTCCATGAATTGAAACAAATGATACTCTGAAGCACTTCACATAGTTTGTTTCACCTCCTTCCTGTTACAAAAATATGGATGGATCACATATCAGAAACTACTACACCTGCCATAACTGACTTTTTCAGCTCCAAAGGAAGTTCAGAATTCCTATATCTGAATTTGATCTTCAGAGGAAATAACAAGTGAAGGACTTGTCACATATTATTAGCACTTGAGCATAAGAGGTCTCATATAGAGTTCACTGGACTTGATGGAAACACTCCCCCCTGATATTAGTGTGCTTTGAATTGGGTTAAAAGTGGATTTCAGTATTTTAAAATGAAGGAAATAAGGATATATACATATAGAGAAAGAGACAGAATACCTAAACTATTAGGTTCTCCTATATGAGCACCCCAGTACATTAACACAGCAAATGATGTAAAAATAATCTCACACTATTTTTAATAACAAATTTCACTGAAATTAATTATATTTTATATATATATGTAAACTATATAATATTACATTATATTATATTATAAAAAAAATCATTGCCATACCAATAATGAAATTTCTTATTTAATATTCTTTAACTGAGATGTGAATTGTTTGAAATCATTAGCTAAAAAATCCCTAAGACTTTTTTTAAAAAACTTTTTCTTTCTTTTTTTAAATTATCACCAGTTTGATAGGTGATCTGAATGAAGAGGAACTCCCTAGAATGATGACCTCTTCTGATCATTACCTGGAAGCTGGAAAGAATCATAGAATATCCTCAGGTGGAAGGGACACACAAGGATCATTGAGACAAACCCCTGGCTCCACACAGGACTACACAAAATTTAAGCAATATTTATGAGTGTGTTGTGCAAACACTTGTTAAACTCAGGCAGTTTTGGGCTGTGACCACTGCCCTGAGGAGCATGTCCCAGTGCCCATCCCACTTTGGTGCAGAACCTGTCCCTAGCCCCTACCTGTCCCTCCCCTGATGCAGCTCCATGCTGTTCCCTCAGGCCCTGTTGCTGTCAGCAGATAGCAGAGCTCAGCACAACTCCTCTGCTTCCTGTGAAAGCTGCAGTCACCATGAGGCCGCCCCTCAGCTCCTCTGCTGTGGGCTGAACCAACCTAGGGACATCAACTGCTCCTCACCCATCTTGCCCTCTAGACCCTTAGCCATCTTCATAGCCCTCCTTTGGATTCTAATAGTTTTATGTGTTTCCTTCTATTTTTCTTGAAGCCACTCATTGTATACACTATTATTTTGTTCTTCTTCAAGAACATAAAAGCATTCTGAGAATTGCTTAGATTTTTAAAACTTCTTGCTAGCGCTGTTATTTCTTCTTATGAAACAAAATTTTATGGGCCACTATTTCAGAAGTAGGATGAGAATATTCTGTTGTACCAGGGTGAACTCAAAGCCTATTGATTTTTGGCGTTTGGATTGTGCCTGTGGTTGCATTTACGATACTTCCCTTCACCACTGTAGTCATGGCTTTTGCAAGAAAAAAATTCATTGTCTTAAAAACAAACAAACAAACAAAAAAAAAACCAACACAACACAAAATAAACAAACTGACATTTTAACTTCCCCCACATTGCTGTCAGTGGTGCACCAATACTGCCACTTTTTGAAGACTGTTTGCTTGGACACATCTGATATGTGATCTTAGTATGATAATTCCTAATATCACAGCAGCCACCAACAAATACCTTCCCCTTTACGCTCATTTCACTGTACATACCAGATGCTTTGCTTCTAATGAGTTGACTAAAAGAAAGGATGTTCTGGGCTTTAAGGCTCTTAACTAACCTGGAATCATTTTGCTCTTTCCCAAGTGACCAGCTTTAACAGCTCATATTGGCTTTAACTGGAGCATAGAGTATAAAAAAATAGCTATACCTTTCTTCCTTCCCACACACATAGATACAAATCACGATGCCAGCTATCAATTCAGTTGCAGTAAAGTTTTAATATAAAATTCTGAGTGATAGTAAAGGTTAAACACGACAGTGTTTCCTGGATGTATAAGACAGATTCAGCAAGACAGCATTCTTGTGGCTCTACTACTCATGTTGTACAATGTGTCCTGCTGTGACGGTTTCTTGCTGTTTCTTTTAAAACTCTAAAACACATTCTGCTAAGCACAGATGAGAATACACCGGCATTGCAAGCCTTCTTGCATTTTTTTCCGAGGGAAACGTTGCGGATATTGTTTATTTTTCTGTGGAACCCTCATATTATGTGTTGCACAGACACACATGTATCAGATTTTTTAGTAACATTAACTCTAAATGGATCAAATCCAACAATCTTCCCTCCATTCACAAATAGTGTTTTCAGTGACAGTATTATAAGCTGATTTGAAATCAGCCTTTAATCTAGTCGAATATATTTGACAGATGCTATGCACATCCTTTTTATTTTTTTTCTTCTGGCTATTGAAAAAGAGTGCTTGTGGTTTGCAGAGCTGGTACTTTAGAACTGTGCAAATAATTTAGCTTTACTTTTTTCTTTTTTCTTTTTTCTTTTTTTTTTTTTTTTTTTTTTTTTTTTTTTTTTTTTTTTTTTTTTTTCCATATATTTCTATACAGAGAATGGGAGGAGGGGAAATGAGTTTCAGCTGGAGTAAAATCTTGGGGTATAATGTAACTTCAAATGTACAGATACATTTTTAATCTTTCATGCCATTGATTTATTTTCCATTCTTATCTGAAATTATTTGATTAACTGCTGATTTTGATTCAAATTTATAACTGCTTTGTTGTCTGCCTTTGTGGGTGTTTATTTGTGTGAAAAATGTGAATAAATGGAATAGAATTAAGGATTTATCAACCAGGTTCATTTAAACGCATTTGTAACATAGACAGGGAAGTAATAAGTTTTGACTGTAAGAAATGCTCTTTCAGGCATTTCAGCGAATTAAGAGGAAAAGAACTTTTACAGTGCTCTGCTCAAAACCCACCAGTTAACAGAAACAAACAGGCTGAAAACACTGAAAATTTTTCAGTGGAAGTTCATCTCCAAAGTGATTAGCTTCCTTTAAAACGTAATTAGAAAATAAGCAGCACTGTGGATACCACACTGGACTACTCAACAGCTGGGATCTCCTGTCCAGTCCCTTGTGGGTTCATTTGTGTCTCTGTTTCTTTATCTGTGGAATGGCATTAATGCATTTTTCAAGAGCATGTTGAATTTCCAGTGTTTTCTAAAGGGCTTTGAGGTCTTCCCATTGAGGGCATGACAGCAGTGATGCATATTGCAGCTGGGCCCGCAGCCTTCTTGCTGTAACTTTTTTCCATCCCCTGCAGTCATTCTCCTCACATCCCCAGGGCTCTCATCCCCTCCCAGACTTGATCTCTTGCAGTTCAGGGAGTCCTTGAGGCACTTTTAACCAAAAAGGCAGGGCTATTCTACAGCTAGGAAGATGATTATCAAACTTCAGTGACTCCATCTCTATTTTCTTGTTTTTTTTTCTTTCTTCCACAAAGGTAAAAGTTTGGTTCCAGAACAGACGGATGAAGTGGAAGCGGGTAAAAGGAGGCCAGCAAGGGGCAGCAGCCCGGGAAAAGGAACTGGTGAATGTGAAAAAAGGCACGCTGCTCCCCTCCGAGCTCTCTGGCATTGGGGCAGCTGGTCTCCAGCACACAGGGGACTCACTAGCGAATGATGACAGCCATGACAGCGATCACAGCTCTGAGCACGCACACTTATGATACACAGAGAGTGTCCCAGCTCCGTTCTCAGGAAAGATGCTTTGCTGGCAAGCCTTACACAGGCATCGTTTACGTATGCAAGTGACTCTGGCAATGATTTTTAAAGTTGTTATGGAAGATTCAGGCTTATTGTGTCTGTTTTTCTTGATTTTTAGATGGTTTACAGTAAGTGCCATGTCTTAAAGGTGCCTCAAGAGTGGAGAAGTGGAACATTGAACATTCCAGATTTGTTTGTCATGTTTATGACAGCGGGCAGGTATTTTTTGCTTTAGCTTGCACTGAAAATTACATTGCTCTCAACAGACGTTATATTCTGAAAACCACAGTGCCACAAAATCACTATCTAGTGGATAAGAAATGTATTTTAACTCTGTATATATTTACCTTACAGCATTTTCCTGTCTTCACTAATTTTAGCAATGCATTCATATTAGCTGATGGCAATAGTCACTCATGACAATAAATGGCTTTTTGTCTCTTTATTTTTGTTTTGTTTCGCCAAAGACATACAATACATGCAGATACTTTTGTTCAAGTAGAGAAAGTATCTGCTAGGACAAGTCCTTGTATGACAGACAAAACAAACGTTATGTTGCATTTACTATCAACTGCTGCTAATAGGGTATTATTAAACTTACCTAGCTCCTCAATTCTTCTTATCTTATAACTGCAAAAAATGATTTTTAGGATCATAAGGATAGTCCAGTAACCTGCCAGAAAATTTTCATGCTCAGTGGAAACCCCAGAAAGGATTATTCATTTCTACTTTGTCATCACTGAGTACATTGATTAATACCGACTCTGCGGAAATGTTGCTTCATCTTCAGTTTAAAAAACAGCAGTAAGCTGAAAGTTATTATCAACTGTTTATGTTGGTAGGAATCAAAATATGAAGGTAACTCAGTATTGTGTCCCGTATGTAAAATCAAGACACATTTTCTGTTATAAGCTTTTGTGTACATACAGGCAAACACCAAAACTCAAAATTTAATGCAAACCATTGATTGTACTTTGTAAAGAAAAATGTTTAATAAATAATCCTTTTTAAATATTTCTTGTCTCTCTACAGTGATTTCACAGGAAACTTAAAAGAGTTGTTTTGTAAAAGTCCTAAGGAACTCTGACTTTTTTGGGTCTTTTAGAACTTCATCTGTGAACAAAACAAAGCTGCATTTTCAAATTTAGGCTTTTAATCTTGGATAAACTTTCTACCTTCATCCATTTGGGAAACTCTTTCCTTCAGCAGGAAAAAGGCATCTAGAGGCTACTGATGTCTTTGGCCAAAAACAACAAGAGTCTGTTCAACCATTTTTCCAGATCTAGAGTGAATATAAAGGGTTATTTTGTTGGACATTGTTGAAATGGATTAAAATGAATAAACATCAGGAAAGGGATGCACACTTACGACATAATTTTTATGATAGTGCTGTTCAAGAGAAAGATATTAAAATACCTCCAAAAATGTAAGGGATTAATTCAAGTGTGTTCAGCAAAGAAGATGCAGAGTGAAAGAAGGAGCAAGTGGAAAATATGCATGTCTTTGAGAGTATTCACTGAAGCTCTGCTATGTGGAGTAATAGGGCATCATATAAGTTAAATGCAATCAAGAGATCTGAGTCTGTTTTCTAAATCCTTTCCACTGTAGATTTGATCTTTCTTGCAGGTTAATTGTTGTCATGATCCCTTTAGTTTAAAATATCCAAACAGTAGATAATTCATGTCTTTAAAGACTTTAAAGAGTACTTTATTGATTCCAGGAGTTGAAGGGTTTTGCTATTTGTTTCTCAGTTCTTTTCCAAATGCCTTTTTCATACAAAATTACTAAGTGTACAAGGAGGATAGAGAAGTAATCCAACAGCTTGCAAATACTTGATATTTTTCATTTTGATGACTAAATGGGAAAGTTTTTGAGTGGTGATGGTGATTATCAAAATAGGAAATAAAAAGTGACCCGGACTAATACTTCTTATTCTAGGCTAGTTTTGCTCCCTGCTAAAAGAAATATACCTGAATTTTAGAATGAAAAAAACTTAATTAAAAAATTAAAACAAACCACCTTGAATTTTCAGATACTACCTTCTTATAAAAACAAAGACTTTTAGTCAAATTTTAGGTGACCCATTTTACTATGTAAGATGTAAGAGAGTATTATTATCTTTCAAATACTATCATTGCCAAAATGCCTTTTTGAGCACACGGAATTGATTAGTGCCTTTTATACACTTTAAGACTGAACTTGAAAAGGGTTCTGCCAAGTTTGAGATGACACTTCACAGTACAAATGGAAATAGCTTATTTACATTACTTGAAATGCACCAGCGATGTCTTCCTAGCCCAAGGCATTTTGAGAGATGTATTATTGTGTGATTTGATTGCAATACTTGCCAATATGTGTGATGGTGGCAATCATGAGCTGTAATAATCTCACTACAAGGTAGAATATTTTCCATTTGAGGATTGTCTTTTTCCATTTTCCTTGTTTAGCTGAATCTCTACAGATATGAGGGATAAGGAGAGAAACATGCAGATGAATGTAAATTGCTTGGAGAATTTTTATATAATTTTATTTAAGTAAATCTTCAAACAAAGCACCAAATCATGTAACTTTACACTGGAGTATGAGTGTGGGAAGATTAGCAAAATTGATTGTCTTCCATATTTTAAAAGGAGATAAGACTTTGAATGTGGCCAAAAAACACTGACTGGATGTAGCAACGTTTGCTGGCTTCAAACAACTGTTTTGTGGTTAGACCACTGCAAAGCGAAATATAGTGCAGAGATCCCACATTGGCAGAAGTTGAAGCTACAAATTCTAAGCACAGTGAGCTTCCTACTATGATCTTGAATGAATTTACTTACAAGCACAGCCCCATGGAAATCCAGACACATCTTCCACTAGCTCATGCTCAAGCCGTGTACAGCAGCAGTGAACCCTCTGCTCATTAACAGTGCTTTTTGGGTGAGCAATTCTACTCAAAACTCATCAGTGCAGATGGTATTATGGCTTCTTCTGAACATACGAATTACTCCAAAACTAGCTTATGGAATCAACAAACTGACTCAGCATATTATGAATTGTATCAAAGTTTTAGCATAAGTTGTTCCTGAAAACAACTTTGATGGCTTCTGAACTATAACTTAAAGTTTTGTTTTATACTCTGGGTTTTTTATCTGCTTGCTGATTAACAAAGGATTCTTTCACCAATCCAGCCATACGGTATGGCTAAGAGTATACCACTTGACGGGTGGGCACAGACAACCCCTGATATTGTGATTTGCAATTTGCAGGCACTTGATAGAATGAAGTTTGATGAAACTTCATTTGGTTTACTTATTTTCATTAGTTTCTGTTATTAAATAGTGACTGATCTGTTTTATGTCTAATCATTGATGAACCCTTCTTCTAAGGACTTGTAACATATTTTATCTGCCCAGAGATCATCTTTCTTTGATGCTCAAAATATCATTGAATCAGAGATAGAATCTGAATACACGGATAATCTAACTGACTGTAGGACAGGAGTGATCTCTGACAGTTTTTCAACATGATAAATGATTGGAATTAATTTCTTTCTACTGTCTTTGAGGTACAAGACTACATAGTATTTGCAGGGTTTCCTTTTCTTCCCTTATGGCTGTCGACTTTTTATTTTGTCTTGTTAATTGTGCCTTCATGTTTTTCAGATTTATTTTGGCAATGGTTGTTCAAGAGGTGTGTTTAAAACAATACCATTGCAAACTAACTGGACTTACTTAATTACTTATTCAAAGCAGTTTGAATATATTTTCTAAACTTCTTTCCATTGGATCAAAATTAGCAAAAATGGAATGTAAGGAGAGGCTCTATATGTCTTTCCACCAAATGCAAGATTTGAAGCTAGTTTCCTGGTTTCTTAAATGAAGACTGCTGCAATGTTATTTGCACAAATGAACGAAAATAAAATAGCATTAGGACATGTGCTCTTAGTTGGTATGAGAAAACAAAGTTATATAAGTTAGGGACAAAAAGTCAGCTTGAGCCTTTGTTTAAAATTTCCTGGCTTCAGTTACTTGTGTCTCTTGGGTGAGCCTGTATTTAATAGGGTACATGCAGTATTTAAGATTCAAGAAATTTTAGAGCAGTGTTTAACCAATAATGTACTATAATTTAATATCACTCAGTGTGTGTGTACTGAAAGGAAGAATTCTGTACACAACCTGATGTCTATATTCATTCAAAAAAGGTAGTGTACCTGATATAGCCTGTAATAACTGGCATATGGCCTCACTGTTGTTGCACACTATGACCTCATATTAATAAGAATTTACTAGACCTCATGTGCTTTTATGTATTTCTATCCATTTTAATTTAGGTCCCATAGTTTTTTGACATCATTTACAGCTGAAAGGTACAGTATGTGGATCAATTTCCATATAGTTTAAGGTCTATAGCTGTTATTCAGGGCCTCCATGTGGTGTAATAAGAGGCTATCACAGTCATTTGTATAAAATGCAAATGTATTAGAGGTTTCTGATTTCACAGTTTTTTCTTACTTCTTCCCAAGTGCTTGAAGACTTATTAATCTTTGTTGTCTTTCTCTTGGCATCTGAACCGTCACAACTCCTGTCTGCAGAACTTGGTTGATACATTGATTACATTCAGTTGATAAAAACTTATCTCAGCAGTAAACTTGCTTTGTATCAATAACTAGAAAAGAACCCAAGAAGAACTGTGAATGAAGAGCTCATTAAATAATAATCATAATTGGGAAAAATCATAGTTCCTTTATTTTTCAGTGCTTTTATGTAGACAGACTCTGTCTACATAAAGAGTTTTTAAAGAAAGGTATGTTTTAAAGTACTTTTATTGAGTAAATGATGGTGAACTCAAGAAATTTGTCCTGGTCACTTGTGTCATGGACCCAGCAAACCTTTTGAGTTATTACCACTTTGGTTTGCACTGTGGACACTTTTCTGCTCTTTTTTTGGTCTTATTTGGTCCTTGAGTGATTACTATAATAATCTCTTCCAACCCTCAAGACCCTGAGTCCTTTTGTCAACAAATGATTCACAATAAAGAGTAAATACATGGTTCTTCAAACCACAAATAAAAAGTATGATTGCGATAGGATATAAGAATATGAATAAGAACATTAAACAATAGTAAAAATAGTATTCTATTCAGACCATTAATTGAGTTCTGTTGTTTCCATAAATGGTTTTGGTTTTTTGTACAGAAATATCATTATTTTATTCATTTTTATTTATTATGTATATTTCTATTCAGGTTATATATTTGAATTTAATTATTTAGTTGTTATATCAAACAAAATAACAAAAAAAATATTTGTTTTCTCTCAAAAGAAAGACAAAATACTTTATTGCTGATTGGATTTTATCTGCAAATTTTGAAAATTTATCATCCAATATAAGAAAATTTGAAAAAGATTATTTTATATTCATGAACAACAAATTTCAGATTTGCTCATTCTTCAAGTAAACATCACAATAATTGATTTCCTTAAGAATTTTCTTGTCATACATGAAAATATTATGGCCTTCATGTTGTTAATGTCTCCTTGTTTGAATTATCTCATCTGTAAAACTATCTGAAGGAATGAAAATGGTAAATATGTATATAAGTGATATAGTACTTAGGGACATATTCTCATCTTTAGCGTTACAATGACTATATAGCCACTGTGTATGTTTCTTACGTCTGCGGGGTTTTTAGAAATATGCTTGTTCTGAATGCTTACTAAATTATTTGCTAAGAAAGTCACATGCACAGCTGAGAAAATACTGAAATGGGCATTTTCCCAAATTAAAAATGTATCTTGAAAAGTACCCTTAGAATATTTTATGCAACCACCACAGAAATGCATTTAGGAGAGTAAAAAGTACTGGGGGCAAAAAAGTTTGGAAGTAAGACACATTATAAATAATTTTATATATGCATTTCTATAATTCTCATGTCCATAATTATTCATTGGAATTGTATAAAAAATGCACAATTTTTAGTTCGTAAATTTTACTAAATATAACATATACCTGGTCCTTTTCTAAAACTAG